AGTTTGAATGATGTTATGGGATATGTCCGTAGGTTTGGTTGAGGTCCCGGGGCCTCGGGTGTGTTTCGGATGCTCAACGGGCCATTTTGTGTTGTTAAAGAGTTGCAGAAAAATTTAGGTTCAGGTGTTGCAGACCTTCCTTCAGTGCGATCGCATCCATCCCTCCGCGTTAGCATAGAGTAATTCCAGAGGGGGATAATTTTGTTCTACTTGATCGCATTATCTGGTTCGCGATCGCATTATCTGGTTCGCGATCGCGGAAGTCAAGTTTTTCCTTCTTCGCGTTTGCAATTGTTTTTCCGCGTTCGCATAGTAGAAAATTGGAGCGGGTACTTCATCTCATTTTCCTCTTCGCGATCGCGTGGCCCTGTTTGCGATCGCATAAGCCTGTTTCTTTCTCTTCTGCGATCGCAAACCTTAGGTTGCATTCACATAGGCCATTTCTAGAACCTTTAAATTTTACTCTTCGCGATCGCAGATGATTTCCTTCGATCGCATTGAACAAATTACCTGGGTAGATATAACATTTCAAAAAAGAGGGTTTAGCCATTTTTACCAAAACTTAAGCTTGAGAGCTCGGATTTGAGCGAGATTTCGAGGGATTTTCAGAGATTTCGATTGGGTAACGATTGTAAACTCCTTTTTGCCTGTAACACATTAATCTAAGCATGAATTTCTCCTTTAATTTCGGATTTTGAATGAAAAATTTATAAAACTTCATAGACCGAATTATTGAGTTTTGAATGGGTTTTTGACATCCAATTTGAGAGATGTTTATATGGTTAGACTCGTGAGAGTACGAGGATTCTGAAAATGTTAATTTCACCAGATTCTGAGATGTTGGCCTGAGGGGCATTTTGGTCATTTTACATAATTTCACGTATTAGCTTAGACTTTAATTGTAGAATCAGTTACTTGAAGTGTTATTTATAATATGCAATTGAATTGAATAGATTTGGGCCATTTGGAATTGGATACTCGTGGCAAAAGTGTGGTTTCGAGTTGATTTTGAGCTGGTTCGAGGTAAGTGGCTTATCTAACCTTGTGTGGGGGACCTTCTCCTTAGGAAATGATATATTTGATAATTGAAATGCCTTGTACACGAGGTGACGAGCGCATACTTGAGCTAATTGTTGCAAATCCGGTTTTTCCTTCAAGTGTTTCAATTGAGTTCATTTTTCCTGTTTTATTGTACTTGCGAATTCATCCTGTTGTAGTTTAGAAAAGCATGCTTAGTTGACTTAATTACCTATTTGCTTAAACTGATTTAATTGCATTACATGAAGCATGTTAGGCTAGAATCAATTGCTTACTTGGTATGAATTTAGTATTTAATTGAGTATTCTTGTGTTGCTTTTGTGTGTTTTTAATTTGGGACTATGGGACGGCATCCTGGGAGATCCCATGTATGTATTTATGATCTGGACTGAGGTGCGGGATTCCAAGAAATCCCTGGTATATATTGAGGATACCAAGAGATCCTCAGGATACCAAGATATCCCTAGCATAAATTGACGATACCAAGAGATCCTCGGGATACCAAGAGATCCCTGGCATATATTGAGGATACTGAGAGATCCTCGGGATACCAAGAGATCTCTGGCGTATATTGAGGATATCAAGAGATCCTCAGGATACCAAGAGATCCCTAGTACAAGTTGAGGATACTGAGAGATCCTCGGGATACTGAGAGATCCCCGGTTACGTTCATTGTTGTTTGCTTTCATCCTTGTTTTTCCGTTATTATACTCTTATTATCCTGTGTAGATTCTTACTGTAGATTCTCAATTGTGTTGCTTATCTTATCCTATCATCTTTATATTTATTCGATCTCAGTAGGGCCCTGACCTACCTCGTCACTACCCAACCGAGGTTAGGCTTGGCACTTACTGAGTACCGTTTTAGTGTACTCATGCCCCTTCTGCGCATGTGTTTTCATGTGCAGATCCAGGTACCGCTGATCAGGCCTACTATCCTTCAGAGAGGCGATTGTTGTAGAGACTTCGAGGTAGATATGTCGCGTTCGCGGACCTGGAAGTCTCCTTCTATTTCTGCATTTTAGTATTAGCCCTTCTGTACTTTTGTTCTTGTTAGACATTCCAGAGATTTAGAGCTATGTAGCGTTGTTCTCAACTTATGGATCCGTGAGTTTCTGGGTTTTGGGATTGTGTGTCAGATTATTGAGGAGTTGTGTGTATGTTTCGAGCGGCATTTAAATATTGTTTTCCTTCAGTTTTTTATGGCTTTTCGACAATTTATTCCGCATTATCAGGCTTACCTAGTCGTAGAGACTAGGTGCCATCACGATAGTTCACGGAGGGCGAACTGGGGTCGTGACAGAATTTAATTGTGATAGTTGAGTATTCTTTGAAATTGAGGATTGGTATCTTGGAACCATTATTGACAAAAGGTTTACTCTTGCTTATTCTTATACTGATTAATACATAGTGAGGAAGAGAGTTAAAGCACGAAGGGTGATGTTGTGTCGTATTTGTCATTTCATGGAGAGATTGAGAGTAAAAGCACGAAAGGTGATGTCGTTCCATTATTATTGTTTTATGGTGAGGTTGAGATTAAAGCACGATGGGTGATGTAGTGTCGTTTTTATTCATTATGTTTATCCATATTCTTTGGTTGAGGATTTATTTGACTGTCTTATGTTGTCATACCTGTTGTAGTTACTGTATCTTGTACCCTCTTTTGCATGTTCCCTCCCAATCGTACGTATTTAATCTTTATTTGATATTATGTTGAACGTATATCTTCATTTGTACAGGTTTAATTATGTGGGTGTCATGTCATAGCCTCGTCACTACCTTGTCGTGGTTAGGCTCGACACTTACGGAGTACATTGGGTCGGTTGTACTCATACTACACTCTACACTTCTTGTGCAGATTTTGGTACTGGTCCCAACTGTACGTGAGGTGCATCAGCTCGGATTAGCATATTTGGAGACTCGAGGTAGATCTGCTGGCGTCTGCAGACCTTGAAGTCCCCTTCCTCTTTCCTCATTTACTATTCATTTCATTCCAAACAGTTATATTTATTCCAGACCCTATTTGTAGAACCTCTAGAAGCTCGTGTACTTGTGACTCCAAATCCGGGTTGTATTTAGATATACTGGTTATTATGCTACTTCGTACTTTATTTTTGTTTCATTTTAGTTTAATTGGTTTAATTATTTGAACTATTTTAAAATTGGCTTAAAAATTACTCTAACGTTGGCTTGCCTAGCCAGTGAAATATTAGGCGTCATCACGGCCCCAAAGGTGCAAATTTCGGGTCGTAACACTCGTACGTTATCAGATTCAGTAGAAGAGTCTCCGTCTCATCAGTGACTCTAAAACTAGGAATTTTCATTAACCCATTCTCAAATTTGATATCAAATAAACTTGTGTTATCTCCAGAATTTTCTTTCTCCAACTTGTCATAAATATGTCCGACTTTTACGAAGCTAACTCCAGCTTCGGAAAGCTCCGTTGCATTTGCCATGACATTATGCCTCGTTAGGTGGTCCTTATCTATTGGCTTATCTTTTGACCTGATTATTTGCAAAGGATTACAACATAAGCTCTTACTGCAATATTGTTCCATTTCCAAACTAGGATTCTCATGGGTTAGGCTAGTACATTTTATCTCGGAAGGGTGACATGACATGTGTACTAGTTGAAGTAAATGTTTGATTTCTGCAGCAATATCATTACCTTCACTCTCAAGATATGATGCAGGGGTCATCTTCGATAATACAGGTAAACATGTCTCCACCATTTTTGTGTAGTATTTCATCTTCCTCATCCATAGTCATGTGATGAAGTTTTGTGAGGATAAAGAAAGGAAGTTGATTTTCTAGTAATAATAAATCTCGATGTACTTGAGCTTGTATGGAATTTCCGGGGATAATCGTTTCTTCTTCTTCTTCTGGACACATTCCACACCACTCTCAAATGAATTCAACTAGAAAACAACCATCAAGTAACAATATTTTTGAAAAATTGCCAACAACATCACTTTCAAGGTTCTCTATATTGTCATAACACTTTAATACTTCATCCTCCAATTCCTTAATGCAACTTTCCACATCAATCCCCTCTTTCCTGCGAAGGAACCATCGTAGGTAACACAGTTTGTACTTTTCCATGGAGCGAAGTTCAGGATTGTGTTTATGGTAAAAGAAATATTTTCTCCTTGTTTTTCGATCCTGATGCACTAAGCTCCCGCTATGCGCGAGGTTGGAGGAAGGGCCAGACCACAAGGATCTATCATACGCAATCTTACCCTACATTTCTACAAGAAGTTGTTTCCACGGCTCGAACCCGTGATCTTCTGGTCACATGACAACAACTTTATTAGTTACGCCAAGGCTCATCTTCTTCTAATCAAGACTGAAAATTGTCCAAAATAACAATTGAAATTATTTAAAAGATTTCTCCTCACATTTTGCTATATTACGCTTGCGTCCCTGTATTTTACGATATTTCGATTACCTCTCTCGCTTTGATTTTTCTATATTTTTAACCCATTTATCATTAATATAAATAATTATAGCTGGACTAACTTTCCCTTACTAATATTCTCTTTTGTTTAGTTAATTTTATAAACATCTTTTACTACTCTTTTTCTTTTTTACTTATTCTATTAATTATTAATGCTTAAATAAAGAAAAAATGCGTGGGTGAGTTCCAGAAGTCTACACGCATATAAAATTCTAGTTTTTTATTTTCTCAACTTTTCACTTAGATTAAGTTATATCAAAGTCAACAACTAAAAAAAAAGAAAAACAAATAAGTATTTTGGCACACCCTTTAATAAAATAGAAACTCTTAGAAAATAAATAAGTATTTTGATTGAATTACCCTTAATTAAACTTTGCATATTGTTAACGTGAAGCATTGTGATATGTAAATAGGGAAAAATTTAAAAAACTATAGTTAATTTATTCTTGATTATGTAAAAAGGACACTTATTTTGAACCAAAATAAAAAGCCAAAAAGTCACTTATTGTGGACCGAAGGAGTATCTTTTAAAGGATAGCATAAAGTGACGGACACCATATATGACTTCAATTATTTTTGAATTAAAGATGTATAGCGTAGGATGTGAGAGAGATAGAGAGAGAGACCTCATTTACATAAGTTTGATCAAGAAGTGGAATTTGATGATCCATTTGGGTAGTCTCAATATGATGTGCCATTCTTCTTGAAACTGCAATTCCTACAATAGAGAGAGAGATAAGGGTTAAGACGTTATTGTATCAACCCAAAGTAATTACAATTTTCAGCTGTATTAACTTCTACTCTTTTGCCAAAAAATAAAAAAATAAAATACAATACATTTTAAGAAATGGAAACAAATTAAAAGGATTGACATGTCATAATAGATAGTGACGATTTATATAGTTGATTCTAGTTATCTTGGGATTGCAGGGCACATAATTGCAGCTGAACTAACATCATGTATTCTTCTTCGTAATAGAAGTCATATGAAATCGCAACCCCTTTCCTAATTTTGTCTGAGTCGATAAGATAATCCATGAAAATAGAAAAATCACTGAATTATCTAGGATGTACATCAGATGATTGTTGCTCGTATACTATAAGATTTAATTTCTCAGGATGGTCTCCGTACAGTCAAAGACTTCAAAACGAGGAATTGTCATAGCTCCATTCTCAAATTTAATGTCAAATAAACTTGTGTTATCTCCAAGGTCGTGATCTTCCTCCAATCTTCTATAACTTTTTCCAACTTTTAAAAATGTAACTCCAGCTTCGCGAAGCTCTGTTGCATTCGGCGTGTTAGCATTTGTAAAGGATTCCAACATAAGATTTTCCTAAACTGTTCCATTTCAAAACTAGGGGTTTCAAGAGTAAGGCTAGTTTTCTTCTCCAAAGGGTGACATGAAATGTGTATTAGTTGAAGTAAATGTTTCATGTTTTTGGCTTCAGTGTCAGTCTCAAGAAAGGATGCAGGGCTTATTTTCAGGAAGGAAGAATTAAAGGTCTCCTTCACCAATTTTATGAATGGTACTATTGGATCCATATATAGTCATGTCTTGAAGCTTAGTAAGGACAAAGAAAGGAAGTCGGTTTTCTAGTAATAACAAATCTCGACGTACTTGACCATCTATGCAACTGTAGGTAATAATAATGTCTTCTTCTATAGGCCACAAAATTTTAGGCGATTCGGAGCTCGTCTCTCGAATTCTTGATGATGGCGTGGATTTAGCACACAAAAAATTAAAAATTATCCCGGATTCATGTTTTATGGCTCTAAAGTGCCAAAAACGAGAAACATACACTATTGTTCATTATGTCATTTCTGATAGACCCACAAATTCATGATAATGGCATGGACTTGACCTGTATTGTTGTCACTATAAATATCCTCTATATCATCATAACACTTTAGCGCCTCATTTTTCAATTTCTCCAATTCACAAATGCACGTTTTCAGAAACCGCCGTAGGTAACGCAATTTATAATTCTCCATCGGGCATAGTTATGAATTCTTCTTATGGTAAGGACCAATAGAAACCAACATTAGCTTATAAGCATGTGAATTTGATTCACTTAGCCCCACACTTACTCTAAATATGGTACAAGATTTGGTAGATGAATGGTACAAATCTAAATATATTTAATCAAGAATTTGATTTGTCTCGATTAATTGATCCGCATTCCTCCCTTCTTCTAACTATAATTAGTGAAAAAGAGTCATAATTTTTTGCAATAGGAGTTTCAAGCTAAATTACAAAAGTTTGAGACAGATAGCTTGTTTGGCCAAGCTTCTTTAATCCTAAAAGCATTTTTTTTTACAGTTGAAGTGTTTGGCCAAGTTTTTAGAAGAAAAAAAGTACTTTTGAGGAGAAGCAAAAGTAGTGTTGGAGTAGCAGAAAAGAATAGCTTCTCTCCAAAAGCACTTTTTGAAAAAGATTTTAAAGAAAAATACACTTAGAAGTAACTTTTAAAAGCTTGCGCAAACACTAATTGCTACTCAGAAGTGTTTTTTAATTAATTAGCCAAACACCAACTACTTCTTACCAAAAATACTTTTGAAAAAAACACTTCTCAAAAGTTAATTTTTGCAGCTTGACCAAAAAGGCTACGAAACTGCTTGAAAAGGAAGCATAAGCAAAACTTCATGATAACAATAGGACAAAGGATGGTGTACATAGGCCGTTTGGTTAAGTTTTTCATTTATCAAACAAAACGTATTATATCTGTTTGCTATATCTATAAACCGAATCAAAAAACAAAAAATCAAATTCCTAAACACTTCCTACCTTTGTTTCTTTTTGATACATACAAAAACAAAAAGGGCATTCCAGTGCATAAGGTATTTCGCGCTCATACAGGTACGGGAAATGACCGCACCCTAAGGAGTGTGATGTAGACAGTCAACCCTAATATTAATCGTAGTGGATGCTTCTACAGCTCGAACCCGTGACATGTCATATAAAGATAACTTTACAATTGCTTGAAGGTTCCCCTTTCACAAATATAAAGTAAAACGAAAAGGTATTGTTTGTACGTGTTGAGGGAGAAAGAGGGAGATAGAGTGAGAGAGAGACTGAGGGAGGGAGGGAGACCCCATATTCTGTAGTTTGATGAAGCAGTGGAGTTTGGTGATTTATTGGGTTAACGTCAATAGAGTGTGCCATCCTGATCCACCCTTTAGGGTGAGTGGTATATGGCACTCGCTAGGTTGATAAAATTCTTATATATTTATATATAAATTTTATTAGACTAAGTTAAATATTTGATTCTACAATCCACAACAGTCGCAAACTAGACAAAGGTGTCATGATAGGTAGATCTTTTTGAAAGCTTTTCTCTTCTCATATGTAAAATTCAAATTCGAATTATCTTGAAACATATCTGACTTTCCATGTTCGTTGTGCTTTTTATTTCTTTTGTTCTAGTCATTTTCCTTTTTGGCTAAATCCCAATTTTTTATTTGTTATTTATTATTTTTATATTTTTTTCCTCTATTTTATTATTTTGTCTGTGATCTCTATCAAGAACACTCATAAAAGAACCTCCAAAATTTAAAAATTAAAAATAAGCATTTCAAATGTAATTTTCATTCAATAACAACAAAATAACATGTGAAATTTCACAAGTAGGGTCTGGGAAAGAGATGTGATTTTTATATTTGTAAATAAAAAATGCTTCTTAAATTACCCCGACAAACTAAAAAAATGAATTGAATAAATGTTCCGAACAAACTCTATATTAATCATTACAATGTGTACATTAAAGAAAATTGTGGCACCAACCACCTTCAAGTCCTAGATCCGCCTCTGGTGCCATCCCTCTTACTTAACTTTCTTGACCTGTAATTCCTACGTTAAAATTGCACGTCTACCCACATTTTAAATTTTTTAAGTAGTACCCAAAGTTTAAACAACTTCGGGTTTTTTCTCCTCTTTCTTCTTCTTCATCTTCTTATTTTTCTATAGTGATTTTATATGGTATTTTATGAACATATTTTAAGGTAATTTATGATGTTTTACAGTGGTGGACTGTTGCAGCACTTTATTTTTCTCATTTAGAGTAGGGTGTTAAATCGTGTATTGGATCGTTAAAATTCGAAGAACAAATTTTTATTTTTGGGCAATTTTGTAAGGCACCGTAAAATTTTACCTAAAATCCGGAGATTTTGTGGTGCCTAGACAGACTTAGGTGTTGATAATTGTAGAGGCAAGCTCGTCGCGGTACTGACTTTTTGGGTTGAACAGTGTGCTGGGGAGTTGAAGAAATTTTTTTTACAGTGCATGGCGTTTCTATGGCCCATTCTGCAATTGCAAAACTGATCTGCGGACCGCAGAGCTGCTGTAGACTGAAGCAGAAACGTGAGCTAATTTAGGGACCATTATGCATCCGCATATTCATTTTGTAGGCCACACAATCCATTGCAGATCCAACATAAAAATTTCCGGAGGGGAGTTCTGCGACGCATTATGCGACCGCAGAATTGGTCTGCGGACCGCAGACCTGTCGTAGAGTGAAGCAAAAATGCCCAGTTCTGGAGGGTCATTATGCGATCCATTTTGCGGACCGTAGAGATCTGCATCAAGGCTTCATTTTTCTAATGTTATGACCCGACCTCATTTCGTTTTATTTAGCCATAGGGATCATTTTTGGTGGATTACCTGACATTTTAGAGAGATGAGAGAGCTATTATAGAGAGATAAAAGGAAGGACGGATTTCACTACTCTACTTTGATCAAACCTTGAAATTCCATCAAAAGGAGCTTGCTAGGGTTTCTAAAAGGTAAGAATTTCTTTCCTAAATTCTCCAAATTCTCCAATTTCTATTGATAGTACTAATATATTGTCTCTTTGTTGCTCTCTTGAGCTGAGGGTCTCCTGGAAATAGCCTTTCTGCCCTTCGGGTTAGGGGTAAGGTCTGCGTACATACTACCCTCCCAGACCCCACTGGTGGGATTATACTGGGATGTTGTTGTTGTTGTGGGTAATGAGGGTAGATGTATCGCATGAATGAGCTAATAAGGGTTGTGGGAAAGTTGTTGGACAACCTTGGGTGACTTTTTGTTGTTGAGTTGTTGATGAAAGATTGGGTTGTCATTGTAGCAGCTCTTGCCATACGAATTCCTCTAACCGTGCTCGTAAACTCTCTCCTCTTCTATAGATTGGCATCGTTAGGAGTGTCGGGATGCTATTGTTACACCGCAAAAAGCTCTTTCGAGGTATGAAGGCTAAACTTTTCTTGTAGTATCGAAATTCCCAAACCCTTGCAAAACTCCATCATGTGTAGTCGAACTTGAAACACTATTGAGGTGGGATGTTCAAGCTAGTAAAATGATTCTCAAATTGCATAACGTGTCTGAACCCTCGTATGTTAAAGATTTTTCTATTTGACTTAAGAAGAAAATCTTGTATGAAATTAATGTGATCAAATACTTATTTCTCATATGATGAAATCTTATGATCTTACACTTGTTAAGGCCAAAGGTGCTAATGACCGAAACATAAATCTTTTGTACAAACTATTATCATTTTGGGAATCTGAAGTGTGCCATTGTGAATACACCTCCACCCGCACACATTGGGGTGAGGCAGCGGGGCCACTTTTTGTAGAGATTGTGATTGTAATTATACCTCCACCTGTACACATTGAGGTGAGGTGGTGGGGTCGCTTTGTATAGATATTGTGAATGTGATTACACCTTTACCCGCACACATTGGAGGGAGGCGGAGGGGCCTCTTTGTGTAGAGTTGTGGCATTATGGTACAGGACATGTTGAGGATTCTCAACTTGAAATTTATAAATATTTTTGAAAGCTTTGAATTATTTTGCTATGGTTTTTACGGTTGTTTAAGCTTTTTTATTGCTTCCATGATTCGACATATCATGTTGTGCCTCCAATCCTTGAAGGGGGTGTTTGGTTTTCATACTAGTACTATTCGACATGTACTAACACCTCTTTTGTCGGGGACGCTGCATCTTTAATAGATGCAGGTGGTTCCACAACAGGTGGCTTTGATCAGTGATAGCGGTGTACCCTTTTTTCGGCTGATTTGGTGAGCCCCACTTCATTTCGCGATCGTACATCTTTTGCTCCTTGTACATTTAGTTTTGAGGTATAGCCGAGGCCTTGTTGTCGACACTATCATTATACTCCTTTGTATATATTAAAGGCTTCGTAGACATAGCGTGGTTGTATATTGGCATTGGGAAGGTCAAACTAGTAATGTTGTGTTTGTACCACATGTACCACTTCAAACTATGTAAGTGTATGTATTTTGAGACTTAAAGCGGTGTAACTAATGTTAATGAATTGATGTTGTTTGCATGATCCTCTTCATTGTTTAACTAATGATATAGATCTTCTCCTTAATCATGGGGGAGTTCGGGTAGGAGTTATTGTACAGGCTTTCTCGGTCGGATTATCTCGGTTGAGCGCTGGTCGCGCTCCCCGAGGTCGGGGCGTGATAAATATGCACTTAAGGCCAAAGACTTCAGGCCTATGTGGCCTTAAGTATATGAAAACGTAGGTGGCACTTCAGACCTATTTAGCCTTAAGTGCATCTAAAGTGTAATTTTTTCACTTCAGACTTATTGGCCTTAAGTATATAAAACTATTGGTTGCACTACTGACCTATTTGGCCTTAAGTCTGGAGTGCAAATATTTCACTTTAGACTTTTTCGCCTTAAGTGCATGAAACCATTGGTTGCACTTCACATCTATTTGGTCTTAAGTGCATAAAACCATTGGTTGCAATTTATACTTATTTGGCCTTAAGTGCATATGAAGTGCAATTTTTTCACTTCAGAGCTCTCTAACCTTAAGTGCATGAAAATATGTATGCACTTCAGACGTATTTGGCCTTAAGTGCATCTTAAACGTAAAATTTGCACTTTAGACTTAATTGACCTTAATCTTTGCACTTCAGATTATTTTTTTTAACTTCAGACCCGATAAGTCTGAAGTTAATCGTAAAGTGGGTAGGTTTGCAATTTTTTGTGAAGTAGGTATAGCTTCAATTGTGACCCTAAAATCGGGTATAAATACAAAGGCCCCAATTCTTACACATGACAAATCGGGTTAAAATGATCTGGTACCAAATTCTTTTAATAACTAGTCAAAATGATCGGGTATTATTGTTAAATCCAATTCATTGCAGAATTCGATTTGAAAAGCCCAAAAATAAAAAAATAAAAAACACATCAACTCTCGTCCTACATGACTTGCCATAACATGTTAGAAATTTTAATTTTTGGATTGAAAGAACTACGTGGGCCTTCGGACATAAGAATTGTAAAATTTCAGAAAAAAGTAAAATTATTTTTTAAAATAGTATTTGAAAATTATAGTTGTGTTTGGACATGAATATAATTTGGAGTTGTTTTTAAATTTTTGTGAGTGATTTGAAGTGAAAATTTTGAAAAACAGTTTTTTGAAATTATTAAATTTTCGAAAATTTCGAAATCCAACTTCAAATCAAATGTGAAATTTGTATGGACAAACACTAACTAATTCTGAAAAAGTAACAAAAAATCGAAAAAGTGAAAATTTTCTTTTGGTCAAACGTGTCCTTAATTGTTCTATGAAATAAAAAACATCAGGAAGTCTCAAATCGAGCGATGAATAACGATGAATAAGAGTCTAAAATCCAAAATAAAATTATTAGACGAAATATATCCATCGGTGGCTTGTTTGGCTAAGCTGTCAAACAATTTATTTTGAGAAGTATTTTTAATCAAAATTGCTTGTCAAAGAAGTGATTTGAGAGGAGTAGCTTGTATTTGGATAAATCATTTTAGAAATACTTTCATTAGTAGTATGTGTTTGGCAAATAAATTCAAAAAGTCTCTTTAATCGCCAAATTATGAAAAGGAAAAGGGCAGCCCGAAATTATGAAAAAGGAAGTTACTATATACTAATTAATTTAGTAATGTTGAATTTTTCATATGGGTAATCTTGTTCAAAATAAATAAATAAAAAAAACACTTTATTTTGGAGAAGCTATTTTCGCTTCTGCTTAGAAACTAAAAATAATTTGTTACTACTTAAACATACTTATTTATTTGCCATAAACTTGGCCAAATACTTTCATTCTCTAAAGTAAGTGTTTTTTTAAATTAATAAAAAAATACTTTTGGCCTTTAGAAAACTTGACCAAACAATATATTTATATGTTTAGCATATAATGAGAAAATTGCAAAAAAAAAACCTTTTTTGTTTTGGCTGTGTCTTCTTTCGTTGGATCTTTTGCTTCTCCTGAATGATCAGAGCTGGCCTGCAAATTTATAAGAGGAATCAAATCAAATATTCGTATTATATAATACAGATAATTGAAAATATCTGATATATATGTGACCTTGTTTTGGCCTTTTAACACAAAATATTGTTGGCCAATGAGAAATTCCTCAAGTCTTTTCTTTATGTTGTCCGATGATAGAAGCTGATAGAGAGTGAGCACTTATTAGGTAGGAGTATTTAATAATTGAGAAATTTTCTTTGTCGTCTTTTTTTTTGTTTGTTTTGCTTTTTATTAGGTAGGTGTATTTAATATCCACATAGGAACGACAAAATCTGAATTCGCGAAAAAGTCCCGCATTGAATGTGCACTAATCCGTTCGTAGTATCATGTCACTTATAACATAACTACGTATTACTATGCGGTATTATCACTTTTAACTCGCGTCAGAAATTATTTATATTTGATAGTCGAAAAAATATATAAAATTTATATAATGTTTATATATAACATACAGAATGCATATATATACAAAAAAAAAATATTTTTTTGCTATTAGTTTGAGAACGGCTATAAAATGTCATTTTACCTATTACTTACTACTATTCATAACAACCTGAAAATAAGGCAAGTTATTACAACAAGTTACACCCAACAACAACAACCATTACATACCCAGCGTGATCCCACAAATCGGCTCTAGGAAGAGTAGGGTATACACAGCCTTATCCCTACCTTGTGTGAGGTAGAGATGTTACTGATGGAACCTCGGCTCAAGAAAAACGTTTTCATAACAAATTTAGAAAAATACAAAAGTAAAAAACCTAAGATAAAAATACTAAAGACAAGAAAATTAAAATATTAATAGCAGAAATAGTACAAGAAGTTACACTCATAGTATACAAAAAAAGTTGCCATGCCTGTGGGGAAAAATTCATTCTGTTATCATCCGAGTAAAGGTTTATCACACAAAAATTATTATTATTTTTTTGTATATATATACATTCAGAATGTATATATATATCCTCAACGTTATTTTTAGGCTCAAGTTTGTCCATGAGATTTAACAGACAAGTCAAAGTCAAATTTACACTTTAAATTTTCACGTAGCACGTTATAAGTGTGTCATGTGTATTAAACAGTTAACAAAATTAAAACCTTGTCCTTCTAACGCCTTTTTTTTTTTTTTACTTTATTTATGTTTGTTGAAGATTTTAATGGCGTTATTTACTCATTTTTTTTCACTTGTGGTCCCTTGTCGATTTGTCTTGTCAGAAATTTAGGGTTATTAAACTATTGGATTGGGGTATCTACAATCTTGTCCTTCTAATTTTATGTTTTTGATGTGGTCCATATTTACTTTCTTTTTTAGCTTGCATGTGCTGGCTCTGAAGAAGTCAAGAAAACGTGGACCTGATTTTTAATTACGAGGGTATTTGGGTCCGAGAACCTCAATTGGTTTATATAAAAAAATTAATACACATGTAGAAAAGGTGTAATGCCGACCTAATGTCATATATTAATATTTGTCAAGAATATAAGGAAAGAGCTAAGGTTTAGTGAGGTGAAGCCGTTGTTAGTTACCGGGCAAACTGAAAGCTAAAAGGGCCATGTACAAGACAATTAGAAGTTAAATTATTTTGCTGGTTACGTACCATGATGTTATGTAATATCAATAGACATGTAAAGTGATTATCTTTTGTTGTCTTTGTGATGAATTAGTTATGCCAATGCTTTTACTGGTTCTAAACAAAAATATATTTATAGTTTTAGATAGTTGAGAATAGCTGCACAACTATTTTGTAGTTTTGCATTGCACGAAAATGTCTATTTCATACCAAAATAGCTTGGTAAAAAACAAATGGATATAGTCCTCTTGTATTTTAAGATACCTCCATTAACATACTAACTACTTAGCTTCAAATCCGCAGTATTACATAAAAATTATTACTTTAAATCTGCAGTTTTACATAGCTTTAAATCTGGACATTACATAGCTATTAATCACCATTACATCACGTTAGCAGCTACACCAACAAATATACACCACGACAATAGCAGGAAATCTTCATTCTCTACACTTTCTTCTCCAATATATACAATTTCACCACATTTTAGTCATCGTTTTCTACAAATTATTCTTTCATGACGAACAACATCCAATGAAACTCTCAAATTATTGATCCCCAATGCCACATATTGTGAAAATTCTTCGTTGCACCATTCCCAATAGCCACAAGAGGGGAAAATTCTTCGTCGCACCATTCCCAATAGCCACAAGAGGCAACCTTATCAAAATAAAATTTCAGTAAAATCATCCAGAACATTAAAATACAAACTTACAAGTTTCTCGGCAAAATATTACTTAATTACTCCATAAATTAATAGGAGTTTTGGCCGTAAATTGACTCGTAACCTATCCTCAATTACATCTACTCGATTGGGTTGAGCTTTGAGAGGAAACCGAATTCTTGGACATTCTATCCCAAAAGAATAATTTTTTATACAAAGATAACGGGAGATTATTATTAACGAAATTGGTAGAAAGAAGAGGAAGAAGAAAATTTACCTAATTAAAGAAGTAAAAATGTGGAAGAAGGAATTGGTTTGGGGGGAGGGGGTGTTTAATCTGACTTACCGCTCGTTTTTAGGTTTTAGTTAAATGGGTTATAAGTATTATGGGTAGCGGGTTGGTTTGAGTATTTTTTAAAGATGGATTTTAATTTTGTTTAATGTTTAATACACGTGGCACACTTATAACGTGCCACGTGGAACTTTAAAGTGTAAATTTGACCATGGCCGGTCTATTAAATCTCATGGGCAGACTTGAGCCTAAAAAATCGTTGAGGGTATTTCCGGTCCCAAATATTAACAGGGATTTTTTTTGAGCCATTTCCATTAGGTTAGGGACATCTTTGGNAAAAAAAGGAAAAAGAAAAAAAGACCTCCAAAATGCATTATGTTCTCGTAAAACTATAATATATCCGAGTGGCATATTGTTAGGCTTCTTAATATTACTTCTCAACAACATCAGGTCCAATTGTAGGTGGGGTGTCACGACCCAAAATCAAACACGGTCGTGGCGTCTATCGTGAAACTAGGCCAGCCGATGCAACTTCCGAATTAATCATTTTCCAATAAAAGTTATTTTTATACCATTTATAAATCAATAATCTCATAATGAAATTTAAAAAAAAAAGGCGGAATAATTACACAAGCCTGACATCGGGGTGTCATTAGTCATGAGAATCTACCAAGGTCTGAATACAACAAGAGTCTAAAAATGTACTAACTACAGTAATGAAAATGAGGGGAAGGAAAACAGTGCTGCGAACGTCGTGCAGCCACCTTGCTAACTCTGATGACTCCGCCTCTGAGCAATATATCAACACCCGCTACCGGGTTCCGAAATATCTGAATCTGCACACGAGGTGCAGGGAGTAATGTGAGTACTCCAACCCAGTAAGTAATAAGAGTAAATAAATATTGAGCAGTAAGAAAAGGCGTCAACCACGTCATAGCACCACAGTGATTACAACCTGTTTCCAAATCAGGATACCACTCAAATCATTTCGTTAAACTCCTACTTCAGTAAAATCCTTAAAAAAAATTATCTTTCTAACCTTTTCAATATAAGTTTAATGAAATACATATATAAAGTGAAAGTGATAAAAATCATAATCGGCACCTCGGGCGAAACATAGTTCGTATACAGCCTCTCGGCAAAACAGAAATTCATACCCATATCATAACTTAAAACTTCAGTTTAAATAAAAGTTATTTAAAGCATTTGTTCAACATTTTCAATAGAGGCTCGGTCTAAAGATGAGTGAAAGCAATAATTAAATCAACATATTCGATAGAAACTCACTTTAAGGAGGAGTGAAAAACACTAAGCTCATAATCAGGCCCCTCAGGCAAGCATCACTCGTATACATGTATATAGATAGCCCCTTGGGCAAGTCTCTCAGTCATTCGTGACTCAACTCTTACCAATCAACGCTCACACTCAGCACCCACACTCAATAGGTACCATATAATAACCGTTGCAGCGTACAACCCGATCCATATATAGCTGCGGCATGCAGCCCGATCCATATATATAGTCGACTACGCTCACTGGGGGTGTGCAGACTCCGGAGGGGCTCCTACAGCCCAAGCACTATTTCGCTATGGCGTGCAGCCCGATCCATATATATATATATACACACACACACTCACACACATTTATGGATCACTGCGGCGTGCAGCCCGATCCATAAATGTATAATCCTCACAACCAGTCCCTCGACCTCTCTCAACCATTATCCTCAGAATCAGACCCTCGGTCTATCTCAGTCATCAACCTCATGATCACTCGGACCATCAGTAAAACAAGGAACTCAGTCCAAACAGTTTTTACATTTTAAGAAGTAAAGTGATAAAACCATATTTAAACAATAAACAGGTAAAACATGACTGAGGATATGATTTCAAAACAAATAGAGTGAGGAAAAATAGTGAATGTACCCCTAAGGGTCTCAACAGTTCGACACAAGGCCCCAAACATGACGTACAATCCAAAATATAATATCAATCTCTAAAATATGGAATACCATAAGATTTCAAATCAAATACGTGACTTAACAGTCGTACGGGACGGACCAAGTCACAATCCCCAACGGTGCACGACTCTACGCTCGTCATCTAGCATGTGCATCACCTCAAAGTAGCAGAACGATGTGAAATCTGGGATTTCAAACCCTTAGGACAGTATTTATAATCATTACTTACCTCGATCCGGTCCAAACTCTAGCCCGCGATACCTTTGCCTTCAGGAATCGGCCTCAGGATGCTCCAAATCTTGCCACAATCAGTGCATAACTATTAAAATATGTTAAGAGAATAAAGCCCACTCAAAAATATCCAATTTACATAAAAAATTCTGAAATTGCTCAAACCCGGCCCCCGGTCCTACGTCTCGCAATCTGATAAAAGTAACATCAACAGAATCCTCATCCTCTCATGGTCTATACATACCAAGAACATCAAAATCGGACCTCAATTGCCCCTTCAAATTCCCAATTTACACTCTCCAAATACAAGCCCTAATTCCCCAATTTTTAGGCTTTAATTTCCACATTTTTCATGATTAAACAAGTAAGAATCAACATAGGATCGAGTATTGAGTTCAAAAATCTTACCTCCAGGTGTTATCTCTTGAATCCCTGTTTAAATCCTCTCAAAAA